CCTCTTAATATCTGTAGGTGATATGGGCATGGGTATTTGTTGGGATGTGGGTTGTCTGTGTGTATCCTGAATTGTTAGGTGAATCAGGGTGATTCAGGGAAGGTTCTCACATTCCTGAGTTGGAGGACTCTACAGTGGTACCTCGGGTTACAGACACTTCAGGTTACAGATGCTTCAGGTTACAGACTCCACTAACCCAGAAATAATACCTTGGGTTAAGAACTTTGCTTCAGGATGAGAACAGAAATCGTGCAGCAGTGGCATGGCGGCAGTGGGAGGCCCCATTAGCTAAAGTGGTGCTTCAGGTTAAGAACAGTTTCAGGTTAAGAACGGACCTCTAGAACAAATTAAGTTCTTAATCAGAGGTACCACTGTATTAACAAGGCATCACAAGGTGAATCAGGGTTCCCTACTCAGGACTCTGGTTTTGCAAGGGTTCTAAATCTCATGGAGAGCCTTTATGAGTAGATATGAGGCTCCTTGTTTCAGACACCACCCTCTGACCCATGTGTTCTGGTTTCTTTCTTTTTCCTGGTGTAATTCTGTACGCTGTTAACAAAACTTGCCTCATCGGTGGATGTCACAATTCCTGCTGGATAACTGTTTCTCATCCCTGCTTTGCTGCTGTCATTTCCCATTGCTGGTTCCCACAATGCTATTCTGTTTATCTTCCAGTAGGAATGCAATGATCTTGATTCATTACTTGCACATAACTCACTGCAACTTGATTAATTTCATGTGTCCCAATGAATCACTTCTACCTTTCTCAAAACGGTGACTAATTTCCCAATCGGAAACAACCATGTCTTTAAAGAAGTATGATATAAACCTACTTTGAAAGCCCTGTGCAGATACCCTTGAGGCCAAGGATAATTGTTAATTAACTATACAAAGGAAGAAGTGGGGTCAGTTCTGTTGGCCTCACTCCTGGCTTTCACAAGTCTTCCAGTCTGGTTCTTCCATTTACTGAAGTGGGAGAAGGGGAGAGAAAGGAACTAGGGAAGTCTTGAAAGATGTAGGATGGTTCCAGAGTGAGTGAAAAATGGAACCCAAACATTTTACATTTGTATTTATTCATTTATTTCTATTTATGAATGACTTTCTATGAATCATTCCATCCCACTTTCAGTACTGGGATTCGCATGAATGGATGCAGTAAGGATGCAGGAAAAATTTGATTCAGTTTGCACTGGAAAAGCCAACACTTTCCTAAATTATATGTGGCTTGAAACACTGCCATCCTTCAGAATTTGCCCTTACCTACATTTCTGCAATACAGTTCTCCAGCCAAGTAATGTCTACAAACCTGCATATAGTAGGCTGGATGTGCATGCAAATGTATATATTAGTGAAAAAAAATATACAAAAGAAGGCATTCCGTCAAGGGAAAGTGATTTGCATTCATGAAATGCATGTATTTGTTTTGTTTATTTATTGCTTTTATATACTGCCAAGGCACCCATGAAAATAACATGTATATTAAAAGAAGAAAAACACGAACATGCTGATGAATTGTCATGAGTACTTTTATATAAAAAAGTACACTAGTTTGAGAAGATGACATTGCAATGGAAGGATGGTTCCATGCAGCTTTGCTGAAATAGCATAGGAGATAGAGAAACTGAAAGAGCAATGGGTATTATAAAGACATGGATAGGATAAAAGACCTGGCAGCTGGCAAAATCTATATGTGTGTGTGATTACGTTTAGTTGTCTAGTTATATTTTGTTATGAAAACCAATAAGAAAATTATTGAAAATTATTGTACACTGATGTGGAAATGATGGAGAACTAAATTTAAGCCTGGGGAAAATGAGAAAGGGAGAGAAAGTGAAACAGACAGAATTGCCCACCCCTAATAAATGGTAAGCTTGTAGGTCTTCACTTCCACAATTCTCTGCAGATGACCTGGCTGATGTGTGGCATTGGGGATCAGGGCTAGCTTACATGATTCCTTTTCCATGTGTTTGATTATCCCCAGAATTAATATTGCCTCTGCATGGCTTATGAGTTCTATTAAAGAAAGTGCAGAATGCACAAATTCCATTTCAAATGATTTTGATGTCCTTGTGATTCATCTGTAAACATAATCCAAAACATTAAGGGTAACTCATGACTATGCAGAATGTGATGCACTATAGGAGAAGTCTTGCATGGTGCACATTTAGATTGCATAATATTGCTCCAGTCCCCTTATGAAATTAATCAGCCAAAGTGCTAAACCCATCCAATATTCAGTGCTTATTTTCCTCTTTTTAAAAAAGAAGCGCATTATATAAATCACTTCCCAGCTCTTGTTAATTGTATAGCTTAGCAGCAGAGCCCAAACTCTGTAGTGCAGTCCAGTAGTGAGTACAATACATAGCTGTGAATGTTTCAGCTTCTTTCTGTTTACTCAGATGTTTCCTTCAGTAGTTGTCATTTAGTCCATAGCAGTTGATAAGCCAGGGGTCTTAAGCAGTCTATTCATCAATTAACTGTAAATCTCAGTTTAATACTCAGAACTTCAGAGGTCCTGCTCTATGGACATAGCTTAGCCTTGACCAAAAAAAGAGTACTGATCAGATTCTTCTTTTCCTGTTGGCCAGGTGGGGAAATGTTGTTCTCTAACAAGGATGTTGGAAAATTTTGACTGAAAGAGAAATGGGGGCAAAAATTGCTGATATTCACTTTTGATGCTGCGAATGAAAATTAACCCAGCGAATCCAACCGGTATTTGCTGCTGTAAATGATACAGACTTGATTAAGTCCCAGCCCTCTCATCTGCATTGTGTTTCCTTTCTATGTAAATAAATCGGGTGGAATCTAATTAATTAATTATGAAAGTTTTGTAAATTCATCACAAGATGAATAAGGCCATTTTTTTGGCAAAAGACCTAACTGTAGCGGAATAGAAACAGTGCTGTGTGGCATGAATAAAGGGCTGGGAGGAAAATGATGCCTCTTTACATCTCTATTTTCAAATAAGGAATTTGAGACAGGGCCTTTGTTAGTTCAGCCCATGCTATTCTGCAACCTCTCTTTGAATCCCAAGGGCAGGCCTTCAAAATCTTTCCTAGACTTTGCTCATTTTGTACACATAAATCCAGGCTGTTTCCCCCTCTGCTTTTATGCATCCACCTGGTGCACAGAAATAACTTTTAAAAAGGAGGGAGGAAACTCTGGTCCCAGAACTATTTTCCTCCTCCCTCCTGCCATCCCCAAGAGGGCTGGAGCCATGATACAGATGTTTCAAGAGCTGGGCAAACATCACTGCTTCAGAAGCACAACGAGTCTTTTAATCTCCCTTGTTATGCTCCCATTACCATAGTATATGTAAGGGCCGGCTCGTCTTCCAAAGACTGCAGCTGCAAGTTACTCGTGTGCGCATACCATGACTTCAAGTGGATTGATGCCATTTTATAGACTTTATAAAGAGTGAGCAAGCCAAAAGAGAAAAGCCTAGCACAAAAATAGCCATAATAGGCATAATAGGAAAATCGGCTCATGCTTTAAAAAGTAAGTAATTTAAAGCAGGAAATCCAAATGCCTTTTCAGATTTCTATGTCTCGTCATCAAGCTGCATCCATGCCAAGAATCAGTGGAAGCACGAGAAGGGAAAGGTGCAGAACGTGTTGTTAAGATTCCACAGAATCTGAGTGTTATTAATATATGTTAAGAGTTCACACAAGTTTCTAGGCCAGGTGTCAGCAAACTTTTTCAGCAGAGGGCCAGTCCACTGTCCCTCAGACCTTGTGGGGGGGCCAGACTATATTTTTTTTGGGGGGGGGGAATATGAACGAATTCCTATGCCCCACAAATAACCCAGAGGAGCATTTTAAATAAAAGGGCACATTCTACTCATGTATATACACGCTGATTACCGGACTGTCCACGGGCCGGATTTAAAAGGTGATTGGGCCGGATCCAGCCCCCGGGCCTTATTTCTAAGCCTTCAGAATTGCAAGTCTGCAAGGGCAAAAGCCAAGAGTAGAGATACCTCCTTCTCACATTTTGACCCTGTAGCCTTTTCATTTCTCCGCCTGTTCAGTATAATAGAACAATGATCCTCCCTTACACTGAATAGGTGGAGATTTAAAAGGTATAGAAGTGGGTTGTTTTCTGTGTTAGCTTGGGGAAAATGATCCAAGATCAGGGGTAGGCAACCTAAGGCCCGGGGGCCAGGGCCGGCCCAATTGCCTTCTCAATCCGGCCCTTGTACAGTCTGGGAATCAGTGTGTTTTTAGATGAGTAGAATGTGTCCTTTTATTTAAAATGCATCTCTGGGTTATTTGTGGGGCCTGCCTGATGTTTTTACATGAGTAGAATGTGTGCTTTTATTTAAAATGCATCTCTGGGTTATTTGTGGGGCATAGGAATTCATTCATTATTATTTTTTCAAAATATAGTCTGGCCGCCCACAAAGTCTGAGGGATGGTGGACCGGCCCACGGCTGAAAAAGGTTGCTGATCCCTGTCCAAGATTATCCACTTTTCTATCTAGTATATTTCCACGTTTAATCCAAGACAATTTGGGGAGACCTCTCCCATCTCTACCCAGGATATTTTCAAAACCTCCCTTGCTGTAATAAGCTAGCATCTTGGAAAGAAAGACTGTAGCTGAGACATTCTCCCAGAGTTACTAGTGTTCAATTTGTGTATGTGTGTATATAGCATTCAATGATCCCAAAGCTGAACTTGACTATGGTCTGTTCTCTTACAGTTCTAATAACCAAAGTCTTGTTGTGTCTTGTGCTCCATCACGCAGGTTGGAGGACACACCATGCTCCCCATCCGTTGGATGCCTCCTGAGAGCATCATGTACCGCAAATTCACGACAGAGAGCGACGTCTGGAGTTTTGGGGTGATCCTCTGGGAAATCTTCACATACGGGAAGCAGCCATGGTTCCAGCTGTCAAACACAGAGGTATTGGGCATGTGGCAGTGGGTGGGTGTGGGGGACACACGCAGAAACAATCTCCTGGCACGGCAAGGGTAGTTAATATCAATTGCAGGAAGCTTTTGCCCAGTGTAGGGCTTGAACTCACAATCCTGAGATTAAGAGTCTCATGCTCTACCAGCTGGTCCAGAGGCATTGAAACAGCCAAGGGATACAAGGCCGCAATCCACTATCCAAAAGCTTGGATAGGCAGAGACCAATGAAAATTGTAGGAAATCTATGCAGCAGTTGAGCAGGTGGCAAGCAAGCAAGTTTCCCAATTCCACCCTCCATAGTCCTGGGTTTCAGCATCCTTCCAGTTAGAACCGCAGAAAAGTAAAATAACCTTGTAGGGAATTATGGAAGAAGAGAAAAACCTGTTAAGAGAGAACTGCTAGACTACATTTAGAGGTATCTGCAGAAATATCTTGTAAGGCTTAGCAGGAGATGCGACTCATGTGGTGTGAGATGCAAAATTGACTGAGGTGTGAGGGATGAAAACTTGCTCAAATTTGTCCTTCTGTGTACCTATTAGATTTTCAGCTCTGCCTTAAAAAAAAAAAAAGGGTGTGTGTGTGCATTTTCTGCTTTCCAGATAAACATTCCTTAATTTGTAGACAGAGAATAATTGAAGGTGTTTATTTCTATGCCTAATGCAGGTCCTTCTGTGCTCTCAGTGCTGCCTGTTACTGTCATTTAACATATCATGCACAACACACACACCCCATGCATTTGTGGGAAACACTTGGCCTAGGTTTGATGTGTGAGTTTGGCAGGAGGAATATCCAATCCTGTTTCCAGAAAAGCTGGTCTTAGGAGCAGCTGAGGGAAGAAATGATATAATTTTGTCATTTGGAAACAATTCAGAATATTCTCAAGGTTTGCTTTTGAAGTTTGTGAGGGATGCTCTTGAAAGACCTACAGATCTTGTGGGTAGGGACATAGCTTAGAATGTTAGAAGAACAGTAGCTCCATGGAAAAGCATCTCCTTTACATGCAGAAGGTTCCCCTGGCACAGTCCCTGACATCTCCTGGTGAGGTTAGGAGAGAACAATGCCCAGAACCCTGGAGAGCTGCTGCCAGCCAGTGTACACAGTACTGAGTTAGATGGACTAATAATCTGGCTCAATATAAGGCAGTTTCCTATGTTCTTGTGTTTGGGGAAGGACCATAGCTCAATGGTACAGCATCTGTTTTGCTTGTAGGAGGTTCCAGGATCAGTCCCCAGCATCCTCAGATAGGGAATGTCTCCTGGCTGAAACCTTGGAAATCTGTTGCTGCCAATCAGTGTGGACAATATGAAACTATGTGGACCAATGGTCTGACTTGGAATAAGGCAGCTTCCTGTGTTGGGGCAATAAGCATTGGCCTCCATAATCACATGCCTCTATCAGGTTCAATTTCTAGCATCTCCAAGTAAGTCTGTGTGTAGGGTGGAGGGGAGAAACTTTGGCTTGAAACCCTGGCAAGTCACTGCCAACTACTGTAGATAATACTGAGATAGATGGACCAATGGCCTGATTCAGTATAAGTAGCTAAGCGTGGTTACTTCACATTTCATGGAAGGTGAAATTTCACTGGAACCTTGTACCTGCTATCCAACAGCAGGGCTGGAGCCATCACATTGACAGACACCTCTCCCTGTAGCCACCACCACTCTTGGCTTTGTGACTACATAGCTTCGTTTGCCTGTCATGTTTTTATCACCCCTCTCTCTTCTCTTTGTGTTCCACAGAGTTTCTTAATCTCTCTACCCTTTTTGCTATTTATATGCAAACATCGGAATGATAACTATCTGTTTGAATGTGTGGCAGTGCCCATAACTATTCAGAAGCAATAAGCTCTGGGGACCACCCTCGCTGGGTTTGGCTGCCTTCAGTGCATTGTTTGAGATCTGCTGCTATTGGCAGTGCATGTCAGGTCATTGGGATGCCACTGCAGTGCTGCTTTTGAGCTTCAGACAAGGGATAGGGGGCAACCAGTAATAACAGCTGCCTGACAAATCCCACCACCACCCCAGTTATCTTACCTAGGAGTAAGAATGGCAAGAGAATATAGGAATAAATTCTGGAGAAACAGGTGGCCCCTGTACAATATTGTCAAGAGAATACTTACCTCCCACAAAAGCTAACTCGAGCAGGTTTTCCTTTCTTTTTTTAAATAAACAAAGCAGCAAACTAAAATGCTTCATAAAAACAGTCATAAAGGCAAGGAGAATAAAAATACACGATAAAAAAATGAAGCTAAAAAAAGAATGAACAGCATAACATTTATTACCTGGTGGGATACAAGTTTCACATTTATAGAAGATATGGCAAATATTCATAAACGATGCCAGATAAAACCATGTTTGGTAGGAATGTGCTAACCATGAGATAGCCCCCAAGCAGATTCAAATTCTGAGGAGTCCACAATGCCCCTGCCAGCATGTATCTTAAGGGTCAGTTTTTCAGAGATGACAATAAACTTTACTTTTTAAAACGAGAAGTCCAAAGAGTAACAAAAAGTGCTCTTCCATCCTTGAGCTATTATGTAATGAACAACAACTAGCAGATATAAAATTAATTGTTGGCAAATAGTTTTGGCATTAGCACCATCAAAAGCATATAAAAGATGTAACTTAGGGTCCAAAATGCTAATTCCTGTTAAAGCCTGGACTTACAGAACTTGTGCATGTAGTTAAATCCCCTATGCCAGTGTGTTCCTTGTACCCTACAACCCTTCCAGCGTACGGGAAAGCCAGATATTACAATATGAGCTAGTCAAACCAAGGTTAAAATCCAGCAGTAGCCCACATTCAAAGAATTCTCCCTAAAGTTAGCAGAAACACATCTGGAGGGGCAAGTGGACCTGACCTTAAGACACTGAGGTTTTGAGTTTATTTCAGAAGAACCATTGTCATTTTTTGCAGAATATTATGATTCAAAGTAAAAAAAAATAAGAATCCCGGAGCAGTTTTGTTTATTGTTGTTAATAATTGTAAAATGATTAAATCACACACATGCTCATCCCAGGTGGGTAAACTTTAAAAAGATGGTTCAGGGTGTATGTGACTTTTCTGTTATGCATTGCAGGTCATCGAGTGCATCACCCAAGGCCGAGTCTTGGAGCGTCCTCGAGTCTGCCCCAAGGAGGTTTACGACATCATGCTGGGCTGCTGGCAGAGGGAACCTCAGCAGCGGCTGAACATCAAGGAAATCTACAAGATCCTTCATGCCCTGGGCAAAGCCACACCAATCTACCTGGACATCCTTGGCTAGCAGCGGTCCCTTTCCTCCAACACCGTTGCTCTGCCCTTCTTCTCCCCCTCCCTACCTCTCCCTTGACCTCAAGCCAACATATTCATATAAACTCAAGTGCCTGCTACACGTACAACACTGAACAAATAAAAAGACAATTACAACTTCAAACAGAAAGGTCCTGACAACCCACCTGTAAAGCAGCTTGGCTTACATATATATATATCTAGAGATAATATATATAGAGAGAAAGATATATTCACCTCCCACCAGAAGCTGCCATTACAGGAAAATGTAAGGCGTTATAAGAAAAAAGGAGAGAGCGAGGGAGGAAAAAGAACCTACAGTATTAAAAAGGAACAAAAAAAAAGAAAAAGGGAAAACAGGATCTTTTAACTCAAGGTGTGGAACTGTGAATCCTACTGCGCTCTTTTGGTTCCAGTTGCTGGGTGGAGCTCAACCCACTTGGGAACGCTAAGAGATAATCCCGCCAAAAAAAAAAAAAATTAAATTAAATTAAAAACTGGTGAGACTGTGCCTGATCTGTAGCTGCACTTTGCGGGCTCCGTCCCCTGGTGCAGAACTGGCAAAGACTGGGCTCTGATCCAGGGTGATGCCCCCTGGAAGAACTTCCTTTTACTGACCCCAACCACCTTCGTATTGCCCCCCCACCCAGACCCGACTTCTACTTTCAGCATTTGGGGACAGATGCTGTTCCAAAAAAGCCCCAGTTTGCTGATTCTTTCACATGTGTAGACTCTATACAGTTTTGTTTTTCGTTATTGGAACATATACAGTTCGAAAGGATTTCATCACCTACGGGTAAACAAACAAACAAACCAGAAACAGAAAATAGCCACTAGACCACAAGGAAACAAGAATGGATGTAGTATTCCTGCTCCCCTTATTTACCTGTTTCAGTTTTTTATACATATATAAAAATAATAGTGAATGAACCAGAGTCCTAGGAATGTTGCCAAGGTCCCGAACAGTCGTCTACAAGAACCATCCAGGGAAAAGGCATATGGGGAGAGGACAGCCTTGGCACAACCCCCTGGATCCCACCACTTCTGTGTGTCCACACAGATCCAGCATTCACCACCATAACCTCAATGTAGCCGTCGGTTCCAAACAGGGTGGCTTGGAAGCCATGATCTCAGTGGAGGAAGTCTGAGAAAAAGGAAGAGCAACCCAGCCATTCAGATAGACCTATATATATGTGTACACACACGCACACAGGCCCAAATCTGTCCATTTCCTTATTGCCCTTCATGCTAATTTATACTGCACATTTCCGTGTACAGAATACTTCGCAATCCTCCCTTTGATCCTATTGTGGTAGATAATGTCTATCCCTGTTTTGGATACGTTGGAGACCTAAGGCCAACAAAGATGACAGAGAGATACTTGCCTGAAGACCACACAGTGAGTTCATGGTGAAGCACAAAGTTGAATCCAGCTCTCCCCCAGCCAATGTTGAGGTCCACTGTGGGTTACTCTTTTATGTCTCTCTTTTATGTCTTAACTGCAGTGAAGGATAAGTTTCTTCTTTGGAATCTGGCTGAAATACTGATTGGAGGAGCCAAGGGAATACTTATCCTAGATCAGTTGGTTACTACCTCTCCCCTCTCCTTCCCACCCCATCCTGCTTATCTCCTCTCCCTTCCAACTATTGCTTCAGTTTGTTGTCTCTTATATTTCTGCATGCTGGGGCGGGTGGCAGGGGTGGGTTTGGGGGCTGTGTGGCAGTAGGACATGCATCAGCGCCACTTGTCCTTTCCAGCTTTCCCTTCCAGTTGACATGCCTCTCATGTTGCCAGGTTCCTGGAAAAGGATAGAGGCATTTGCTTTTGAGCTGCTGTGAGCTGAAGAGTAGCTCCGCAGGCAGTTTGTTGGGAGGTTTGGGGAGAGATTGGA